TCTCTGCCAACGTTTTCACCCCGCTCCAAGTCTGACCACATGCTTTCATCTCCTCTTCACATGACCTCCTCCAAGTCACCCTTGCACTAACGACCGACTCGCCGCTTTCCTTTCGGGTTCCACTCGAGCAATGGCTTGTCTAGTGATGTCACTTGATGGTTTCCTCAGAGTGTGGCTAGCCAATCCATCTCCATTTCTTCCTGCCTATTTGTTTCACAGTCAGTTCCTGCTAGGTTGGTTCGCTGATTGCCAGAGATCCCTGTTGCTGATCTTTTCTGACCAGCCATCTGATCTTGAGTAGTATTAAAAGAAGATAGCTAGCTGTTAATATAGGTCTGTAGTTTGTTTGAGGTGCTCTTTATGACGCGCTGGCCAAGTCTCTGATCCGTATAGTGAGTAGCACTGACTTCACATTGGAGTTGAAAATCCGGATCTTATATTTGATGCTGAGTGCTGTTGACCTCCACACAGACTTGAGAGTAATGAAAGCTTGTCTTGCTTTTCCGATTCTTGCTTTGATATCCTCGTCAGTTCCGTCTGCCTGTAGTTGAAACGACCTTCCCAGGTAGGTAGGTAAAGGAGGTTGTTTCTTTCACGTTCGTCCCATTTATTGTGATTGTTGTCTGTTGTTGCTGTTTCTGTTGGCCAGGAATCTTCATCACCTACGTTTGTTTTCTCTATGTTCACCTGAATTCCTATCTTCTGTGGATGCTTCTTTCTCTGCTAACTTGTTACTTGCCTATCTTCCAGTTTGTGAGGAATCAGACATATATCGTCGGCGAAGTCCAGATCCTCCAAGTTTTTTGTGTGAGTTGTCATACATTGTCAGGCTTTACAATTACATAATAAAATTTTAATCCATTTGACATTTGAAACTAATGTGGTTAGTGAATAGAATTAATGTTCAGTTGTATGAGAATTAGTGGATGGTTGTAATCGAGGTGATCATAATAGTAATAATAACCAAGGTTAGATTCATACAAGTATTTATTATAATCTAAGTAGTCAATCGTCGGGAATGTGTTTATACTTGGAGGGGCGGGGTGGATAGCATGGGAAAAGACTATTGTGTCGCATAGTGACTAGATAGCAAAGTGTTTGGTTTCATTGTAAATAAATTTTAAAACTAAAATTAAAATATGCGACTTTAGTGCAGTATGATTTTGATAATGATGTTTAGAAGTACAAATAAAGATAATATTTACGGTTATTTGGTGTCACCACCACCGTGATAGATAACTATTCTAGGTCGGGGTGTGGAGGCCATGGAAGGGAGACGGGGATTGAAGAAAGTCTTTCTGAAGTCTTTTAATTGTGTCTACACATATGTGAATTCGTTATTTCTGTTAAACTTGTATACGCTGTAGTTTTTTACTATATTTAAACTATTCACCGCATGTTCAATAAAACCACTCATTCCGGTGCATATGTAAAATTGTAGTCTAAATTTATTGTCAATAGTTATATATAGAGAAGATTTGTAGCTCAGGTGTATGATTTGCAATTATTAGTGTTCTCTGAGCTGGTTGGTTTAGTTGCGGAGGAGCTTTCGTCGTCCCCCTGCTGGACAACATCCCCTTTCAGCGCAATATTTAGCATAAAGTGAACTGATTTAAGTTTCTTCATGAGTGATATAATTGTGTCTCCCGGTGACAAACATCTTTACATATGTATTGAACATTTTCTATTGACTTGTATTTTAAACTTTCTGGTTACCTGATTTACTTTTTATTAGTTGGTATATTTCGTCGTCTATATTAACATGTTTTTAATTGCATTTTCGTTTGAGTACCAGGCTTCTAGGAATTCCCTGACTCCGCTTTTGATGTTTCCTCTGTCTAAGATTTCGACATTATCCCAATCATCAAACTGTTGTCCATAATTGTCTGTATGCATTGATACTAAAGAATTTATGTCATGTCTTTTCACGGCTACTTTGTGTTCTTGGATTCTTATTCGAAGGGCACGCCCACTCAAGCCAATGTAATGCCTGTAACAGTTCACACAATTTATTTTGTAAATGGTATTAATCTTATCTCCGTTTTCTGTTGGGTCTTTCGGTTTGCATAACAGAGGAAACATCAAAAGTGCAGTCAGGGAATTCCTAGAAGCCTGGTACTCAAACGAAAATGCAATTAAAAAACACGTTAATATAGACGACGAAATATACCAACTAATAAAAAGTAAATCAGGTGACCAGAAAGTTTAAAACACAAGTCGATAGAAAATGCTCAATACATATGTAAAGATGTTTGTTACCGGGAGACGTAATTATATCACTCATGAAGAAACTTAAATCAGTTCACTTTATGCTAAATATTGCGCTGAAAGGGGATGTTGTCCAGCAGGGGGACGACGAAAGCTCCTCCGCAACTAAACCAACCAGCTCAGAGAACACTATTGATTGCAAATATCCAAACCAAGTTCAATTTTAATCGTTTGAAAACGTTTGGGCATTGGGTATATGATATTGATTATTATATAAGTTCTTTTTGTATTTCCCAATGAAACAATGAAAAACAAAACGATATTATTGTGTTTTTTACTGTCGTTTCGCTATTTAATGCTGCTGCTAATAGCTTAATCAAAGTGGTATTATTAAACCAGAATTTACAAAATCCACTCAGCTTATACATATATAACAGCTTAATCATCGTTCCTCAGTGTCGGGGCATTTTTACATTGTCAAATTGGCCAATTGGTGAAGATTGTTGGATTTGTTATGTGTGTGTGTGTTTAAAATTATAAAAGTAGCGCGTGTTCACATACTGAAATCGCTTATCACATTCGTATTGATTTTTTCATTTCACGGAGAGGGGGTTGGGTGTTGGAACTAAGTCAAGTTCTGTCTCAGTCCACCATTCAGACTATCCAGACAATTTAGATTCCATTTGAAAACATGAAGTGCTTCTGATATTAGATGTTCTTTGTGTTTTCTAAGATTTTTCTGGATGATGATTTCAATATTTTCAAAATCAATTTTGTGACCTGATTTTACAATGTGTGTGTGTGTGTGTATGACTGATGGCTTTTCAAGCTTTTCTAGTTCACTAACTGGATTTTTCTCGTTTGGTGGTGGTTGAATATGCGCATTGGTTCTATGTGGTGGTCATTTCTTCTAAACTTGACTTTTCATGGGATTTGTGTGATGTATATGTGTATATATCGCATCACACATTCCGAGCATTTCATTTGTATAGACACAATTACACTGTGAATCCTTTGGAATTTGGTCTTTTACTCTGACAAGGTTGTATTGTAGTGTGTGTCTCAAGAAGTTTGAAGAAAGCTCTGATATTGTTCTTATTGAGTAGTAGTAGTAGTCTTCTGAAATATCGTCTGATATCTCTGATCGATATACAACGCCAACTATTGTGAGGTGTGTATTTGTTCGCAATAATACATTTTTGAACATATTTAATATCAGTGCTTAATTCTTTTGGTAATGAACTTATTTGCGTAGTTATTTTCGCGAAGAATTTTTCTCGTTTCCTTCTCATCCATTATCAAAGAGAGTTGGTGTACGTACGCATTCATTGGGAATATTTTATAATGATTATTGTCAATAGGTTTCGCCACACATCTATCTATGTGCATTTATATCAGTTCAACTGCACCTGCAGTGACAGTTATGTTGGGCACACTACTACTAGATAGATAGCTTAGCCAACGTGTCACTACTGAACATCTCCCATCGTGGTGGTTTGGTAAAGGACAGACAAAAACAATCCATAGCTCAATTTTGTCACATTTAATTGATAGTGGGATCATGTAGTGTGGAAAAAACGAGAGCTTTCAAGGTAATTCATCGTATCCCACTGAATCTTTCCAATAGACTTCGTATTCGTCTACTGCACGCACACAGCTGAGGCAGGCGATAGGCATTCGAACTATTAAACCTAAAGTATGCTCATTCAAAAGAAGTTCGTGGCAGCCATTATCATCCCTCCCTTGCTTGGCCTATTAAGACATAACCAACTAATGACTTATACACCATCCCTTACTTACTTACTTATATTTTCAACCCCTTTCTTATCATCCCTTAATCTTATCACATCTTCATTTAGAACGTGTTTCAACCTAACATTACTTAATCGGTTCATTGGTTTTTACTAGCCTTTATCAACTACCACGTCCACCTGAACATTTGTTTGTTTAATCATGCGATTTTTCATTATTCGTGTTATTACAGACTGCCTCACCTTTTCATCCTTATTATTGATAAAACCATTATTATTATTACTATTACTGTTATCATTACTACTATTATGACTAATTGCACAATTTATATTCACCATCGTATTATCCTATAGACAAAACACCATGATTGGTTTATATTTGAATTTTTATTTGTAAAGTTATGCAGGTATATTTTAGAGTTAAGCCTGATGAGATCTAATTGGAAACAGGAATATTGTTCGCTTAAATGTGCGTTGTTCTAAATTTTACTATGGGTGCGTACTGCTGAAGAGTCCCAAACTAGGACGAAACAGCTGTCCACTACTCCCTGACTGGTTTTCCAGTGGTTCTCTAACTGATGTCAGCTCATGATTAAATCCTCTATACAATCAAACAAAATCCCTACAAAACCAATACTTGAAAATTAATCTGATGCTCACTAGTGACTGGCCCTATTCAGGTAGTTAACCTGGGGTTCTAGTGGGAAGCCGTGACCAGTAGGGTACAGCAGGTCGAAGATGAGGCAGTAACTCATCGAAGAAGACATTGCGAAGTGGTCGCGCTATGTCGTGAATTGGCAGAAGTTAGAATTCAAGGACCATTGGATCGGGTCCTAGTGGCTCAACGGTCTACGAGCTCGCCTTGTAACCAGAAGGTTCTGGGTTCGAATCCCGGTGGGTGCGTACTGCTGAGGAGTCCCAAACCAGGACGAAACGGCTGTCCAGTACTCCCAGGTTTTCCAGTGGTTCTCTAACTGATGTCAGCTCATGATTAAATCCTCCATGTAATTAATTTATGTTTGTTAATTATTATTATTATAGATTACTGGACCAACCTATATGCTGTTGAGTAGTCCTCAAATATCTGATGGGGATGTTGCACATTATTGGGAAGCATGCAGTAAGCTAAACGATGCAATTAAAGGTCCATATTTCGCCGGTATGCCATCTTTCTTTCATTCATTCTTTGTTTTCTATTAGTGTTATCTTGGTGTCTTGGTTTTTTTTAAATTTCGGCTTACTTAGTGTGATTATTTCTAGGATGTGTCTCGATTGATCACTCATCTCACATCACTCCCATGTATTGTTATTTATCATTGTTTCCATGGATTCTGAGTGGAACCAAGGGTTCGAAGAGCACGTCTCCACCGTCTCCTATTCTTTGTTGTCCTCTTTGGCTGGCCCGACGATTGCCCATAGTCTCTGATCTCGTCATCGCAAACCTCTCTTCTATGTCAGTCACTCTTGGAGTGACGTCCCACTCGCTGTTTCCCATTCAGGTTCCACTCGAGTGAGATGGACTAGCCATGCGATGTCATTCGATGGTATCCTCAAAGTGTGCTCGATCTATTTCCATTTTCTCCTACATTATTTGTAGAGCGATAAGTTTCTGGGTTGGTCTGATCTCTGACGAAATCTCAGCACGAATACAAGGGGCTCGTTTCGCATTTGTTAGTTTACGCCGACTCTGGCGTAGACGAGATGTTCGACTATCGACCAAAGGGCGGGTGTACTGCTCATCAGTCCGCTCCGTCCTCCTTTAATGGCCAGCTGTGAGACCTGGCCACTGAGAGTGGAAGACATGAAAAGACTAGCTGTCTTTGATCATAGGTGCCTGCGCTCTATTTCCCGTGTAAAGTGGCATAATAAGGTGAGCAACATTGAAGTTAGGCGTCGAGTGCTAGGTAAACAGGGGAAATCAATCGACGAAGTCGTGAAGCTACAAAGACTGAGATGGTTAGGACATGTGTTATGTATGCCAAGCCATCGCCTCCCTCGGCGAGCAATGTTAGCAGATATAGGGTCAGGCTGGAAAAAAGCTAGCGGCGGTCAAACAAAAACTTGGCCTCACCAGTCAATCAAATGCACAACAGTTGGTCTAAGCCACGTAGAAAGGTGTAGACTTCCAGGCTGGGGTCCTCGGGACGGTAAAAGCAAATGGTTGGAAACAATTGGTGACATGGCTCAAAATCGTTCTCAGGGGCGCAGATGCATCCACTCCTTGTGACGTATGATCTCCAATAAAACTGTTTAGCTCTTCGTTATTACTCCTTCTTTGTCTCACGCCTCTGCTCACTGTTTCTATTATGCTTTTCTTGTACTTTCTTCTCTAACTTCGCGTGCTACACGGAGTGTGGCGACTTGAACTTCCGCACATTTGTGCAAAGTTCTATGTCGAAAACAGACAGACAGAGGGTTGGTATATTCATAGAGTTTCCTGCTGTTAATTCCTTCTGACTATTTGATCTTCTTCAACCTTGCCTGGTTTACTAGCTCACTAGTTTTGTAGCCTATTCCAAGCACGAGGAAAGAGGGAGAATTGGGTGTGTGGGGCTACGCCGAAAAATGAATCAAACTGCTACGAAAACTTCAATGCCTCTGGAATCAGAGAGGCGAAATGACGCAGGTTGATGAAAGTCCTGGGAAAGCCAATCAGCCGATGTATCTTCTCGCGATGAAAGCAAAAAATAAGAGTGTGGGGATGCGGAATGTTTGTACAGTGTACGAGGCTGGGAAGACTGCCCAGGTGGTAGGTAGCCAAAGAAATGAGAAAATACGGCATGGAAGTGCTAGGAATCTGCGAGAGCAGCTAGAACGGATGTGAAGCACCCCATATAATATTAATCAAATAGGATCAAAGACAAAAAATTTTAATAGGTAATCAGTTTGACTGATTAGGAATTGGTCACGCAAGTGTTTGACTTATGTAACAGTTCTGCAACATTTCGTTTTGTTGACGTGTATGATATTGATACCTGATTATGAGTTGTGTTTCTTAAGTAACTTTTGTTAAATAGCTCAGTTTGTACTCCTCCTCCCTTTTGTCTAATGTACTCATAAATGTTTTGTTGCTGGGTATTTATTGCGATAGAAGTCAGTTGCAAAGAAATGTCATCTCAACCACATTAATCTCCGTGATACAAACTTTCCTTGTGTTGTAAACAACTCTTTGACCACTCAACAAATGCACTGATGTTTTAAGGTGAATTTATGCATCCGTGGTTGAGTTGTAGGAATGGTCGGCAGCTATGTAGTAGTTTCGGGTTTGAGCCCTTGCTTGCCTACTTCTAAATCTCACCAAGTTTAGTAGTCGACACTAAGCTCGGAAATGCGGTTGAACAGTCTACTAGCTTCCCTTGTAACCTAAAGATTGATTGGACACTAGTAACCAGTGTGATGTCTCTCTAGCCCTTTCTTTGGTGGTGTAGACTAAATTCTATCAGTTCAGGTTTGTAGCATTGACTGACTGCAATACTCACTGGGTGATGCGGGCTCAAATCTGAGGAGGGATATGGGTTCCTTCAATGTGGTTGCAGATACGCCTGCTTTGCTGGCTGGCTGACTGACTGACTGGTGAGTGCCAAGTAGCACAACACCTACTAGGTGGTGGTGTCCAAGGCTTCCTGTGGTCGATTGCCTCCAACCAGCTAATACAATTGGTGTCAGTTAAATATTTCGTAGGTATGTAAGGTATTTATAATATAAATTAATAAATGAAATAAATAAATTACAATCTAATCATGTTTATCAATCTGATTAGAATATTTATTGTTACATTCATACATGACAACATATACCTTTCATTTCACTGAATGTGATGTGTAAACTGTAGTGTGTGTGTGTGTGTGTGTGTGTGTGAGTAACTGTTCTATCGTAGACAGATGAGAATCGATATAAAAAAATAACCCCATAACGCAATTTATCCATAAAGTCCATGATTGATTGATTGATCCAGATAGCAATAAATGCCAGAAGTCATTTTGATTCTAAATTTTGAAACTGTTTTGATTGGGCATATAAAATGTTTCACAGGTCAACCAACAGAAAATACAACTTATAATGTGGTAGGTGGATTGAATGTATCTGTGTCTTGACTTTGCCGAAAATCGCAAACACCTTGATCATTAATGGCTTGCTACCTTGATAATATGGTGGTCCGACTTGTATATATATATATATATATATATATATATATATATATATATATATATATATATACATATTTGCGATTGTATAGCTAAAAAAATGAATTCACTGAAAAGAGACTCTTCGCTGAACTACGTGTTTTGTTTTCATTAATGCCTGGATAGGGATTATCCATGAATATATATAAAACTCAACCCACCACTAGGAATTGTCATCGGTGAGCATCTCTTCTCACACCGGATTTGATTGACTCTTTATTGATCACAACTTTTCACTAGGACTCTATATTACGTTAGTAATGAGTAGGAGATGAACTTTCAAGTGTTGGCCTTCAAGGGTTTAATGGATTTCTCTCTAACTAAGAATGTTATTTCACGATGTTTTCAAGTATTAGATTTGTGGGGAATTTGTTTGTTTGGTTGAAAGATTTCATCATAAGCTAGCTGGCTGACATCAGTTAGAGAACCATTGGAAAACCTTCGGGGGAGTACTGGACAGCCAGTTGTTTCATCAGCCTAGTTTGGGACTCTTCAGCAAGATTTGGCAATAATTATAACGCTGTTTGTTTTGCTCTTTATAAAGTAGGTTGTTTTTGGGCTCTTTTCTGATATTTGTGTGTCTCTCTCTCTCTTCACACAGTCATCTGTGGTAAATGTCAGTGATAATGGCCATAAACACGAGTATAAAGTCGTATGAAATTTCTTCTGGTTTCACTCACACCCGGCGATAAAGAGAAAGAGAGAAAGATACAAAGTAAGAAAGCTGCGAATAAAAAGGAGGCTTTTCAGTAACCGCCAATTATTTCCTTGCAAGAATTGAAATGCTCCTCCTACTAACAACAACAACAACAACAACAAAAATGTCGGTTAGCTGAGTCAAAGTCGTCTCCAACACTTATTACTAACCTTGCTTTCACAGCCTTCAAAGTTCTACGTCATTATAACACACATAGTCGCCCTTTTTGAAAAATCCACTGGGACGATATAAAGGGGAACAGTGAAGAAGATGAAGAATAAAAATGAGTGTGGAATTGCAAAGTTTTAAACTTTGAGCACCACTAACTAACCAACCAATCAGCGAATGACGTCGAACGCACCAATCAAGTGAAGGAGGCATTTTTGTGTATGCATGAAATGCATGCATTTATGAAAAGATGCCTAAAAACTGTAGCAAAAGTGTTACAGAGGATACCTTCTTCTCACAACTGATAAGAGTAGCTCTCAGTTTTAGGTTGGCGTATCAATAGAGTATAATTCCATTGTTGGTAAAATTTATTCTGATAAAGTCTCATAGTAATATTTCGTGAGCAATAAATTGTGCTCCAAACGTTGTCTGTCATCAGTAAATATTATTGTATAACACTGATATTTTGTCGGAATACATTTTACTCACAATGGAATTATAGTCTACAATTGTGTACTTAAGTACTATTCTTATACATTCTATGCATGTAGTTATTGTGGTCTTGTAACGCTAACAATAGTCCTAATCTTTCCTGAACTTAACTAACCCTAACGTGAAAATATCCCTAAACTAACTGTAATCTAACTCGAACCACCAACCCTAATATCGCCTTTATATTAAGTTAACCTAACCCAAACTTGTTCTTGACTTAAAGCGTAACTTAATCTTTACCGAAATTAAGCTGAAACTTGTCGGATATCCCATTTAATAGGATAACACTTCGATGAGCATATTTTTATTGGTGATGACAATATTATTTGCCAGGTTTCACTAACTTGCTCAGTGAGCGTTTCACGGTCATTGGTGCCGTCGCACTCCATTGGTAATTAGTTAGTGGTGCTTAAAGCTTAACTTGACCCGTAGACTATATGAATTTAGTACATTGTAAGAGAAGTTGAAATTTACAGTTGCTCAAAGTCTCAAATTTCCTCATGTGTAACATAAATATAAGTCATCAAGCGAAAGATTCTTGTAGAAATCAACAGGATATGAAACAGTCAGCAGAGATTTAAGACGAAACTGATGTCAAGATAGCGGTAAATTTGGATTGATTTCCTACCACACATAGTAGTGGTGTCGATCTCAGGAAAATCATGCGACTGAAACATACCTCAGATAGGAAACACTTCAGTGACTGATAGGACCCTGTGAAAAATAGTATATCATCCTTTCTCACAAATTATGTGATTTATCATGTGATGGAGTTACTACTATGTGATGTATGTGTATCCTTTCTCACGCATACTGTGATTTTGGTGTGTGACCACTTTTATCGTCTTTTGTCTCACCTTCGGCTTTCTTGGATCGTCAACCAATGAGAATAGCAACTTCAAGCCAATAAGAATAATCCATTCTCACGGCTGTACACCGACTTTATTATGGTTAAGAAAATGTATATTATGTTATTTCCTAGATTGTACAATAGTACAATATCTTACAGTCCCAGGCCAGCCCCAGCTTTTGTTTTTTGATGTTTGCGTGGCTCAGTGAATCGGAAGGTGGGTACAACGGACAAATAGGCGCATATCGGTGTATCAGTCGAGTTCATTACGATTATAGTAATTAACAGGCGCAGACATGTCAAAGTAGCAACGGATTTATTCGGATCACTTCACAATTACAACAAAATGGCTGACTGACTAACTAACTAACTAACTGATTACAAACTCAGTAAAGTTTCATAACACTTTAAAAGGTTAAATAGCTCGTACATGTATTAAAAATGTGTTAATTTTATTTATAAACGATAGTTCAATACTGTTTCCTATAAAAAATGAACACCTCATATCGCTTGTTAGTTTACACTGAGGTCAAGTTCATATAGAGTCATTATTAACTTGAATTAAGCAACAAAAACAATGAAATATGATGAACACGTGTGACCTCTTTCAGCAAATGTGTGTCTGTCTGTACAATGAACTGATTGATGGTGTGATTAAAATCCTATTCAGCTTATTATGTTGTAGTAGAGAACAAAGTTGCATGCAATAAAATTTTGCTTATTTATTTATTTATATTTGTTATTACTTTGCGTCCCAAGCGGAACAACGGTGACCTCAATAGCACACCTCCACTTTATCCTATTAGTATATGTATAAAACTTGGGCACTGTGGTCGGAAGTAATTCCATATTAGTTTGCTTATTATAGATATATCACTCACAGTGAGTGAAACAGTATTATAATATTTACTGGATGACACAGTTTCGAACACAATCCATTATTGTTCATAATCATATCATCAATTATAATCACACGACTTTGAGACTTGAGTTTTATAGTTTTCTTTGTCTTCTCCTATTTGTCGTCGTTAGTATAGTAGAATTTTCCAGATATCTAACTAGATAGGTGTTGAATCATTTCTGTTACACGTGTTGGTTTGCAATTGATTCGATAAACAAAGCGTCTGTTATCAATCTCCCCCTTCACCATGTGACATTAGATTTTGAAACTGTCATCTTATGCCATCCAGCCTATTGTATGGTTGTGTGTAATTGCGTTTAGAGAGTGCTATAGCTGAACTCTTTTCTAGATTTCTTATCTTATTCGGGTCAACTAATCTAGATTTTGCTGCTAGGTTTTTATGCTCCGCTAGTCTGACTGCCCCTGTTCTACTACTCTGACCTATGTATTTGACCTGACAATCATTCCAGCAGGGTATGAGATAAATGAAATTGTTTTGTTTTAAAGGCTCCACATGATTGATCCTTTAACCGACAAAGCTTGTTTCTAATTGAGTTTGTGGGTTTGAATGCCAGCCACTTTTATTCCTGCCTTGTTAAGAATTCTGCGTAATGTGGTTTCCGAGGTTCCTTCCTTGTATGGATTACTACCGATGATTTAGACTCCTTATTGTTCGTGTCATTATTATTATTAATATTACCACTATCGCTACTATCATTACTTATTTTATTTTTACATTTCCTTACATATTTCCTGACTAATTTATCCGGGTAATTATTAAGTTTGAAGTAACGCGTCGGTGGCATAGCGGTTACGACGCTCGCCGACCATGCACATGGTCCGGGGGTTCGATCCCCGGCCAACCGACGCACTCCTTTACCTCGCCAAGCCAGAAATAATGCTCATAAAGAGGAAAGGTTGGGCATGAGGCTAGCAACCCCATCCTGTAAAATAAACACTGCTACAGAAACTTCAAGCCACTAGCTTGAAGCCCTATGTTCCACTGGGGAACGTGAAGGAAATAATAATAATAAATAATTAAGTTTAAAGGTTTCTCTTATGCGTATCTCTTCCTGTCTTAGATTTTCCTTGATACTACTTAGTTTTTGTGCTCTCTCACTTAAACATTTCACCAATCCTGTTTTCACTGACATAGGATGGGATGATCGGAAGTCAAAATATCTGTTTGACTGTGTGGGTTTCCTGTAAACTCACTAGTATTGTTTAACTTCCCATCTTCTTTCCTTTTCACGCTGCAATCTAACATTGGAAGCTCCCCCTTTCTGACTTTCCAATTCATTAAGTGAATTGAACTGCATCTACCTTCGAGTTGATGTGTTTGAAAAATCTATCTATATCTTGTGTTCTAAGTACAGTGAATGTGTCATCTACATACCTCCACTATACTTCGATGTGGGGGTGGGACTGAAGTTTTCAATCGCTATGTATAACACATTAGATGTAAATGGTTTTTTTGTTCAGCGAAGAAATTTCTTTTCAACGACTTCATTTCCGGGCTGTACAGGAGTATTTATATTACAGGAAAACGTTATTAAATGGCACTAAATAATTGCTCAGTCAATATACATATATATGTTTTGATGTGGTTTTTTTCTCTGAGCTGGATGGTTAGTTTGCGAAGCTTTCATCACCTTACTGGGTGACATCTTCAGCGCATACTTCAATTTGAAGACTTCAAATTTATTTAGTGCCATTTAATAACGTTTTTCTGTAATATAAATAGGGCTGTACAGCCCGGAAATGAAGTCGTTGAAAAGAAATTTCTTCACTGAACAAAAAAACTGTGTTTTTACTTATGAATAAATGGGTATTTTTCGTGATATAAATGGTTCTCGAAGTCCCACGTCTTCTAGAGTCTTCTATTATCACTCCAAAAGTGTCTTCCATATAATCCAAGCTACTATAATTAAGAATATCATTGGAGAGATGGTAAGCAGGCAGCTTTGCCTTACTCATGTCTTCATTTCAAAGGCTTCGCTGAGTAGTTTTCCGTTGTAGCATTGTTGTACAGCTGTTGAATGAAGTTCATAAAGATTTGGAGCACTGTACTCCATAGTGTTGAAGTAGTAGTTTCCAGTGTCAATCGACTCCAGTTATGTAACATCAAATTATATATGTGGCTTCACACATCGTCGTTGAAATATTCAATATGTACTGTGTACAGTATTTTTCCTTAACGCATAAGTAATTCCATGAATTGAACTCATCTCATCTCATCTTTGTGCTTTTTCTAGGTCACGATTTAAGCCTAGCCGATCTACTCATCTTTCCACATTTACAAAGATTTGAAACTATTGTCGGACGAATCAACGGGAAAGACTTGAATAATATTGGTGAATTGAATGGAAACGATGAACTACGCGCTAAATGGCCTAAATTGACAGGATATTTAGACGCAATGAGAAAGAAATCATTTGTTGCTGAAAGTGTTGCATCATGTCAACTTATTGCTCGTTTTGTGAATAATAAACATCAGGGTAAAGATGATCCTGATATAGAATGAATGAATGAATGAATGGAGTTTGTAAATTGAAGCGGAATTCAAAGTCAACTTTGCTCATTTGATTGATATTGTTATCATGACTGTGGATGGTTTATATTTTTGTAGTTGTAGTAGCTCAACACTTTTCTATTGATGTTATGCTATTTATCCTTTCTATGTGTGCTCTGTGTGAATAAATATAATTTTTGCTTTCTACTAAAGGTGTGTTTCTTCTGTTTAGTGGCTTTCTCAACTGTTGACATGATTCAGATTGACCGACTAAGTGTCTGGTTTCAGCACTGAAGTGCTTCACTTCGTGTTGCGTCCAACAGTCATTATATTTCTTGACCTAAAGGCAGCATTCGACTCTGTCGATCGGGAAGTTCTCTGGAGATGCTTGGCTGTAAAGGGAATTCCAAGAAAATATATTGCACTGATTAAGGCGCTCTACTCGTACTCATACAGCCAGGTGAGGGCTTACGGCGAGCTGTCATCTGAACTGATGACGGCCAGTGGTGTCCGTCAAGGATGCCCATTATCTCCTTTTCTATTCAACTTCATCATAGATGTATTAATGGACTTAACCCTAGGTGACTTCAGCGACTCAGGGATTGACTTGCTACCAGGGAATAATCTCGTTGACTTGGAATATGCAGACGATATAGTCCTTCTAGGCGAAGACGCTGACAAAATGCAGAGTCTTCTAAACACCTTGAGCCGCAATCTACGAATGTTTGGCATGCGATTCGCTCCCGCCAAATGCAAGATGATGTTACAGGACTGGACTACACTGACTCCTAGATTAGAAACAGGGAGTGAAGTGGTAGAGCACGTTGACCGCTTCACTTATTTGGGAAGTACCATTAGCCAGTGCCAACGGGCTGATCTCTGACGAAATCTCAGCACGAATACAAGGGGCTCGTTTCGCATTTGTTAGTTTACGCCGACTCTGGCGTAGACGAGATGTTCGACTATCGACCAAAGGGCGGGTGTACTGCTCATCAGTCCGCTCCGTCCTCCTTTATGGTTGTGAGACCTGGCCACTGAGAGTGGAAGACATGAAAAGACTAGCTGTGTTTGATCATAGGTGCCTGCGTTCTATTTCCCGTGTAAAGTGGCATAATAAGGTGAGCAACATGGAGGTTAGGCGTCGAGTGCTAGGTAAACAGGGGAAATCAATCGACGAAGTCGTGAAGTTACAAAGACTGAGATGGTTAGGACATGTGTTACGTATGCCAAGCCATCGCCTCCCTCGACGAGCAATGTTAGCGGATATAGGGTCAGGCTGGAAAAAAACTAGCGGCAGTCAAACAAAAACTTGGCCTCACCAGTCAATGAAATCCACAACAGTTGGTCTAAGCCACGTAGAAAGGTGTAGACTTCCAGGCTGGGGTCCTCGAGACGGTAAAAGCAAATGGTTGGAAACAATTGGTGACATGGCTCAAAGATCGTTCTCAGTGGCGCAGATGCATCCACTCCTTGTGACTTATGATCTCCAATGAAAGTGTTTTGTTCTTCGTTATTACCCCTCTTTTGTCTCATATCTCTGCTCACTGTCTCTATTATGCTTTTCTTGTACTTTCTTCTCTAACTTCGCGTGCTACACGGAGTGTGGCGACTTGAACTGTCGCACATTTGTGCAAAGTTCTATGTCGAAAACAGACAGACTTCGTGTTGCTAGACTCCATGTAGCTCACAAAGAAAGGCAAGATGAAAGAAGATAAATAGATTTGAAGTAACATTGCTAAAGAGAAATGCGAATGGGGGAAAGAATAGTAACATACAGAAACGTCGGGGTTTAAGGGATATAACAGATCACGGATCTGTGCGAGGCATTGAGATTGACTTTGATCCATATTACGAATTATCTTGAGGATCCCAACCAGGCAGTGTAAACCTAGGCTCGAAAACCAGCGGTGGGTGCGTTATGCTGAAGCGGGGTCCCAAACTAGGCTGACGAGAAACAGCTGCCCTGTTCTCCTTGTTGCCTTTCTAATGGTTTTCTAACTAATGTCAGTTCATGATGAAATCCTCAAAGTTGTCAATAGTTTTACTAGCATAATTTTAACATATATTAATTTATTTGGAAATGAAATGTAGAAAAATAATGATTAAGAATGATCATGGCATGTATTTAGATGAATCTAAATGATTAGTTACTAAAATTTGAAACTATTACTTATTATAATTGTTCCCTTGGGTTCCTAGTGGAACATAGGGCTTCAACTGCACGTCTTAACTTGCTTCTGTCTTCCTTCTGCTGTACTTTTCACCTGCATCCACGTTAGTTAGTCCATACTGTTTCAACTCCCCTTCACACGATCTCCTCCATGTCACCCTTGGACGTACAACTCGCCGCTTCCCTTTCGGGTTCCACTCGAGGGCTTGACGCGTGATGTCACCCAGCGGCCTCCTCATAGTAGTGTCCAATCCATCTCCTGCATATTTGTTGGTTGGCGATTGGTTCTTGTTTTGTTTGTTAGTGCCCATATTATTTTGTTGGTGATTCTTTCCGGCCCGGCCATCTGATTGATCTTTAGTATAGAGCCAGAGAAGACAGATGTTGATAAAGGTAAGGTCTGCAACAGGCTGTTGGAAATATTCTTTGTGATCCGCCCGCCATTTTTTGATCCGTATAGAAGAGCTGACTGACTTGACGTTTGTATTGAAAATCCGACCTAATTTTGTTGTTGATTCTGGCTGAGTGACGAAGATTTCCAGATTGGTTTCAGGTTGATGATGATGATGTGTTTCTCGCCTTCCCGATTTTCGCTCGATTTAACATCCTCATCCGTTCCGACTGGCTGTAGTTGAGACAATGCTCCCTAGATAAGTGAGTGAATGAAGTAACCTCTTTCAAATCCCTCCCGTTGATGGTGATTGGTGCTGGATGTTGCTGTTGTTGTTGTTATTGGTTGGTTGGTTGGTTATTCTCATAACCTCCGTCTCGTCTATGTTCACCTGGAGTCGTGTCTTCGCCGGCTGCTTCTTCGACCAGTTTGTCGGTCGGTTTTTGCTTGTAAGTCTTCGATATTGTGTGACACCAAACATAAATCATCGCCTCGCGAAATCCAGGTCTTCTAGGTTCTTCACGTCAGTCGGTCCAGGATATCCCTGTCCTGTTTCTCGTTTCCCACTCACTGTCTGACGCATAATCCAGTCAGTCCACCACAATTAAGAATATCATTGTGGGTGATAATAAGCAGCACCCTTGTCTGACTCCTGTGTTTACTCTAAACGCCTGGCTGAGTTTTCCGTTGTGGATCACTTGACATGTTCCGTTGTCGTATAGCTGTTGAATAATAAGGTTGATGAATATTTGGGGTGGGGTACGCCGTAGTACTCGAGTAGTTTCCAAATTACTTCGCGGTCAACGCTGTCTGTCGAAAGCCTTCTCAAATTTTATAAAGTTGAAGTAGAGGTTTGATTGCCATTCCATGCTTTGTTCTGTGATGATGATGATGATGCATAGAGTTGCAATTTGATTACAGCTGTAATATACCCTAATACAATTAGAGATAAAATGTAGAACAACAGTTATTAAGAATGATCGTGGTATGTATCTAGAGAACATCTCCCACTACAGCAAAGTGAAGGTGTAGTGAAAACCATTAACATTTCGATATTTGACCATCTGGTGCAAACCAGCCAAAAAGTCAGTCAGCACTGAAGAATCCTTCTCTATCATCTGCCGGATGCCTAATAAATTTCCAAAAACATCCAGGTACCGCATGCTTCAAACAGCAGAGGCTATCGCAATTCGCCTCAAACAACCAGTGTTCTGTGTGTGGAAAAGAAGCAATTCCAGCCAACTAGCCGCTACTGCTGCCCTGGTTGGCCGGCCTTCAGTAGAGACTACAAATTCATGAATTTGTATCAATCTTATCTTTCCTAATTTTTCTGACATTCAGCTTATTTTATGTTGATGCTATTCAGCTGTATTCTATCAATATTATTGATTCGATGTTATTTAATGTTGTTATTAATGTTGTTGTTCGTAACACTAATTCATTCATTCATTCACTATAATGTGTAGATATAACTGTAGAGCCTGATGAAGAGCAGGTTATCGAAAAGTGTACTCTTTGTTTAGTATCCATTCTTTTGAAAGATTTATTATTACAGTTTTAACGTATATTAGTACATTTGAAGATGAAATGTAGTAAAATAATGATTAAGAGTGATCATGTTATGTATCTAGATTAGTAAAAATGTTTAGTGAGTAGAATGTAGAACCATTATTGTTGTACTTATATTCTGTGTGTGTGTGTGTGTGTGTGTGTGGTTATGTGTGCGTAATACGCAATTGAAGTATCTCAGATAATCAGGACAAGGTTAACGACAATATATTGAGGTATATAAATGATAAGAACAGGTGAATCATAAGTAAATTATCAATACGCAAATGAAATTCGCAGAACAAAATAAAAAATTGATTGTGAGTTAAGTTCATTTAGTTAGATATCAGATGGTTAATAAATGATGATGTAACTACGTGAGAGTGAAAAGAAATCAATACTTATATTTGGCTGGTGGAGATTCTCGGGTCGGTGAAAGAAAAGCTGCCACGACACAACTTCCGTGACACATTAGAATTTGTTGATTCAATCAACAATGTCAACGTGTCAGAAAAGAAAATGGTCTCCTTGGATGTTGTCTGTCTCTTCATCAACGTTCCATTGACAGAAATCGTATGTTTTCTTTGTGACTTCATTCAATCCAATAACATCGATATCGGTATACCGATGCATTATTTGAAAGAACTGTTACTACGATACACCTTCGACGTATACTTTAGTTTCAACGAGGAAACAGACAGGCAAGTAGATGGAGTAGCAATGGGTTCTCCCTTGGGAACCCTCCTAGCCGACTGCTTTATGGCTAGCTTAGAAAACATTCCCTTGTCGCCAACTATCGACGACCTCCATCGCTACAAGAGGTACATCGATCATACTTTCATTATTTGTGATGAGAATTGTGATTTAAAAAAACCTACTTCAATAACGCCCACTCAAACATCAAATTTACACTTGAGACTGAATCCGACGAAATGTTCCACTTCCTCGACGTTCATCTGACGAAAAACGCCAACAACTCTCTCAAAAGGTCCATATAAAAAAGCCTACATGGAATGGACAATTCATCAACTTTCAAAGCTTCGTGCCCCTGCGCAGAAAGAGGAACCTGATATACGTTGTTTCCTTGAGGATTCGGCAGATAT